AATAAATATGCTGTGTATGTGTCATGTTGAGGTGATTGTCGTGTTCAGTGAGGCTTTAATTACGTCCCTCAGCTTTTGACGAGCAGCTTTATGTAAACTGGATTTCCTTCATCAAGTTTGGGGTTAAAATTAGGATCTGAAGTATTTCTGTCACCTTGTCAGAGGACTCTGCCTCTGCAGGGACCACAGACTCTTCCATGATGGTAAATATACATTCTACCAGTTTATGTTCATGATTTAGAACAGAATGAAACAGAACTTTATTGATCCCTTTGGTGCAAACATCAGGGAAGTTGTTGAAATTTAAGGCGAGAAATCAGTTAAGCTCGTTTTGATCTTTTGTGAGATTCCAGATGAGCATCTTTTGTTCATGTGATAACTTGTTAAGACTCTAACACGCTAAGATATTCAAACTATTAGCCTGCTAATCAACATGCTAGAAAGTGGGTGTTAGTATTTAGTTAAAAGCTGTGGGGAGAGAAACCTGTTCATTTCGACACGACAGATTAAAAGGATCATGCACTTTGTGTGACGCAGTGTTTAACCTCAAAGGATGAAACATCTAAATACTGTGCTGGTCACAGTTCAACTGTTTTAGGTTATTTTAGCACATTTTCACACCTAAAGCAGCTTTAAGCAGAAGCTACTGTGTACAAAAGCATCTCTCTCCTCTGTTTGAGTGTTTTGCTGAGTATAGAAATAAAAATGTTCATCTACGCTCAGATGAAAGAAAAAACATCTTTTTTTTCTCTAAGCTGTGAAAACCACAAAGGAAGCGTGGGCCAGCTCAACATACGTGCCTGTGAGTCACTAACGAACCACAGAAGGTGGTCGCTGCAAAACCTGAGTTCCTGGACTCGCTGTGGCCAGCTACTGCTTCGTTTCCGTCCCAGGACGCTTGAGGGAGGGCTGCCGTGGAGCCTCCTCACCTCGGTGGTCTATAAAGGCTCGATGTCACCACAGACAGACAGACAGACGCTCAGCGCTCATCATGGGAAGATCTTCAGTCCTCCTGCTGTGCATCGTTGCAGCATGTACAGGTCAGGCTCTGGTCTCATGACATTTTAAATTCTTCCAGTTATCTTTACAGCGCAAAGTGCATTAAAACCTTCCCTCCACAGTCTGGGCCGTCCACGGCAGAACCCTGGAGGTCAGCATCAGTGAGGGGGAGCAGGAGGAGGTGCTGGACATGGACGTCACCGTGGACGTACGCAAGGTACCGCCGGCAAAGTGTTCAGTCAACAGAGTGACACACAGACTTATAAACATCTGCAATTTAGCCTTGAGCTTTTGTTTTTAGGGTGTTTAGATGTATTGTGATCCTTCAAAGTAGAAGTTTTTTTTAGTTTTTTTCATTTTAATTTTTTTAATTTAGCCTTTATTTAACCGGGTCGGCCCAGTTGATCTTTTTCAATGGAAGCCGGGTCCAGACAGCAGCCTGAGAAACAATAAAGTTACAACAATTAAAAACAAACAGAACAAAATAAGTCAAATAGATGCTCGATAAAAGCAACGAGATGAAGAATTTACATGAAAACAACAAGTGTGACATGTAGCTGCCACAAAAAACAACAAAACCCTGCGTTCACACACTAACGTGAATGTAGATAAAGATGCAGAATGTAAAATAGCACCTCTGAGCCCTGGTAGCATTTTTCTGTTAGAATAGAAAATCATTTTCCTGTTTTCAGACTCAGCCCGGTGGCTCTGGTGATTACAGACGGAGAATCGAAAACAAGAGTAAAAATCTGCAGCTAAAATTTGCTTTTTTTCTTTTTTAAATATTGTTTTTTAGATCAGAATTATTTGGTTTCAGAACCTGTTAAGACTGAAGCGTCTCAGTAAATTAATCTGGGAAGTGCATGAAACAGCTTCTAGACGTTGTTCTAATAAGGGCTGGTTTAATCTTTAACTGTGTGATATTTCATAACCTGATGAATGTGGACCAGCTGAGTGTAAATGGATGTATTTAGCGTCACTGATGGCGATCATGGGGAACTTTTTATGCCGTATTTCAGTCAAGCGCTGACAGTTGAGTTTAAGTCAGAGAAATGTTTTTATCCACCTTACAGGCAGGTTTGTACCCCAACGATCCCAAGAAATCTAAGAACAAAATAGGAAATTAGAGCAGAAACATATTTCGGCCACAACATTTGTGCAAACTTTTAAAAGTTTTTATGACTCGTTGTCTAAAAGAAGCACAACAGACGTGTTAAATAAGTAAATTATGCTCTAATATACAGCATTGTGACAAAAATAAGGGATTTTTATGCCCTCTTATAGGAAGGTAAAGAAACAAAGGCATGAATAAACATCCCACATATGTTCACAGCCACATCATAGAGGCACCATTAGCTGTTTATGCTGCTTGTTCAACATTTTTCTTTCCTAGCAAGTATTATTTTTAGGCCTTTGCTCTGAATTCAAAGTGTCACTCGTCTTTGCAGCTTCCGGGGATTTGCTGGGCGTGCAAGTGGGCCTTAAACAAGGTGAAGAAGCTGGCCGGGTCCAACAGCACCGTGGAGGTAAGACGTCCTTCAGAGCGGCAGCAGTGCACCAGGTGATCTGGTCGAAGGGGCAATAATGAGATTTGTGCTCTTATAGAAACTGACAGCGAAGCTGAACTCCGTCTGCGACCAAATCGGACTCCTGAAATCTTTGTGCCGCAAGTTTGTGAAGACACACCTGGGAGAGCTGGTGGAGGAGCTCACCACCACCGATGACGTGAGGACGATCTGCGTCAACGTACGAGCCTGCAAGTGAGTCGCTGCTGTTCAGACGACCTGAAACCACGTGTAGGAGGCACCAGGTTCAGACCGAGGCCACATCTACACACTCAGTAATCACGGAATAAATAAATAGAAGATCTAACTTCTGCTCTGGAGTGACGGAGACTTTATTTTACTTGTTTATTTCTATTTTATGCTGTTTCATGCATCTGCTCTAAATGAAGCACTTTTCACTCCACAGCATGTTTTAGAAGAAGATCTTGAATGTGTGACCTGTGATGACTGTCAGACTGCCTTAATAAGCTCCGCCTCGTTATGTACAGCATTAAAACACACTTGCTAATTAAAATCTAACCTACGGCATGTTATTGTCGTACAGAATGGGGCCAATCTGCATAAATAAAAACTGCACCTTTTAATAACTCATCATGTTTATTTCCCAGCCCTGGTCGTCCTTTACATGTGGATGGATTTTGATATTTCTTTATTTTTCGGATGTGCTCTCTTTAGGTCGAAGGAGCTGATGGACGCGTCCTTCAATCCAGACGACGAAGACTTCCCCATCATCGAAGTTCATGGGTTTCCTGAATAAAAATCAAAGTGCATTTTTCTTGTGATTAAAAAAATCATTGAAAGTTCAGGTTTTGTCCTCATGTGTTGCCACGAATATCTTTTAATGCCACAAGTTATTTAATTAGTTCATTTGACTAAACAAAGCTGTTTTCTGGAGATAATTTATCACATTAATCAATTAATTTGCTCACACCTGATTCAATACAACGCCTGTGTTCAACTGGAGATTAAACATTTGTTTTCTTGTAATCACAATAAACCAACAGATGCACACTGAGCGATTTAAAGTATAGAAACGTTGAACTAAAGCCACGTGTCGCTGCTTTTCCTTTTCCTGTCTCCCCTCAGCTGTTTCTGCAATAAAGACAAAACATATATAACCATTGATGTGCTGCTGCGTTTACTGTCTTCATGGCTTTTACTTTACGCTGCAACGCCTGTAATGATGAGTTTTATGTTTGTGCACAACTGATATCAATAAACATGTGAAGGATCGCCTGCAGCTCTCTGTTCTGTTCAATAACGTTCAGTTTTGAATATTTTTTCCTCAAACCTGAAACTTCAACCCGTTATATGAATTAGTTCAAAAACATCATCACCAGTGTGGATGCAGAGCGGACACAAATCAAGCCTCTGCCACGTCGAACACATGAAACCTGGTTGGTTTTGTGGTGCCGTCTCCTCAGAGACGCTGGTTAACGTTTGCACTGAATAGCACAACCACAGACAGGAAAAGCAAAAAGCATTCCTTCAACAGAAATAGACTTCCTTTGCTTGTATTATTAAATAATAGAACGAATGACACAAAGACGATCAGATAAACGTTTTCTGTGTGCGTTTGCAGAGCAGCATCAGAAGCAAGTCAGTCACTGTTTAAAATGTGCGACCAAACTGTGAGAAAAAACAAAAGGCAGCAGCTACCCGTCAGGCGACACCCTGACAGGATGTTAGTGGGTGCTGTCCTCACTCTCACTGCAGCTCTGCAGTAAATTAACTGAACTGTTGCATTAAATTTGCACGAAGAGAGCAAATATTAAACAAAACTTAGAAGATTGAATGATCAGGAGTTCTTGTTTCCTTTAATAAGAATCCTGAGTGACAACATGTGAAACTGCAGCCGCGTCCTGATCAGTAAGTCTGGAAGTAAACATCCATTCATTTATTTGTATTTTATGGGTATTTTTTCCTTTATTTGATAGTGCAGTCAGGAGAGAGAGAGAGAGAGAGGAAAGTGGGGAGAAGAATGGGGGAAGGACCATGACTGGGATTCAAACTGAACTGAACATGGGACCAGCACCAGGTGAGCTACAGCCACCAGTCATTTATCATCTCTACACCTTAATCCTCACCAGGGTCATGGGGGGCGGAGCCTATCCCAGCTGACTCAGGGTGAAGGCAGGTTCACCTGGACAGGTAACCAGTCTATCACAGGGCTACACTTAGAGACAGACAACCAAGCACACTCACATTCACACCTACGGATAATTTACAATCACCAATTAACCTCAGCATGTTTCTGGATTGTGCTGCAGGTGTCTCAGTGGTTAGCACTGTTGCCTCGCACCTAGAAGGTCGCTGGTTTGCATCTGCGTGGAGTCTCCATGTTCTCCCCGTGCAGCGTGGGTTCTCTCCGGGTTCTCCGGCTTCCTCCCACAGTCCAGAAACATGCTCTGAAATCCTCTTATTGTCATTTCTGCAAAGCTCGATCGAGGCTCGTTCACCTCCTGAGATCACAGCCACCACGTCTGGACCTTCAACTTTACTGCTCCGCTGAGCAGCACGTTTTATATGTAATCTGTGTTCGGTGTAGACCGTCAAAGCAGATGAGTGAAAGATTTTGTTGTTCAGGATTTGTGACCCAGAAAGAATTCCTTCATGGGGATTAACTAGAATTACTGCCTCCTGCTTGTTCGCTCCCACCAGCAGTTCACGGTCGTTCAGGATCACAAGCTGTGGTGTCCCTGACAGAAAACAAGAAGAACTCCTTCTCTGCACTGACATGCTCAGTAAACAGAGCGGATTCTGATGGAAGACAGTCAGACACAGCTTCAAACATGGATGTAAAGAAGCTCCAGATTGGAAGACGTTCCTTCTGCTACTGAACCAGAGTCGAGGTCATCGGGTCAAGGAGGACTTCTGGTTTAAAGAAGTTCCCTCCAGGTGTCGCTGATCCAGCAGGAATGGAAACATGAAACCTCTGCAAAATAAAGCCAACAACAGACCAAACAAGAAGCACCATGAGTCCGTTTAATAGTTTTCTTTCCTTTTTTAAATCAAATCATACGATGATTCAGTGAGCCGAGGACACGACGACCAAAAACCAGCATGAGATCTGTACATGTTCACATAAATAGGACGCACAAAACACAGGAAGCATACGAGATATGTACACAGAGGACATGTGGAGGCCACGGCACCGGGTTCTTCAGTGCACATTAAGGCTTTGATGAGCAGCCTGAAGCTTTCACAGAACAGAAAATAAAAAAAAGAGGCTCCTTTATTAAACATTTACTCCAAAAACTCTGCATCAGTCATAAAGAGAAGAGGCCAGAAGATCCAAAGATCTTCACGAGGACGCTGCAGCAGAGAGCAGGCACTTGTTGCTTCGGTCGAGGAAGCTTCCGTGTTCCCAGCTCTGCTTCAGGGCCTGTCGGTCCAGCTTGTTCAGAGCCTGAGAGCACAGACGGAGGTCCTGGACCAGCTCCGACAAACCGTCCAGACCGTGAGCGTCCCAGGGGCCGGACACCTGGCAGCCTGTGGAGGAGGACAAGGTGTGAGTTTATGGGATAATCCTGCTGTTGTTTCTTCTCCTGAAAATGATTCTGGATCAAATCAACATCAGCGATAACTCACCTTTACGTCAGGAATAACTGACCTGAACCTCGTGGAGGTTTGTCTACGAGCAGCGCTACAGAGCGACGGCTTTATGAGCAGACGTTATGAACAAGTAATGAATGATTAGAATAATATAGTATGACTCACTTCAACTAAAACATTTCTTATTGTTGTATCCTTTAAAAATATAAACAAATAGTAATTAAAGCTCCACATCAATCTAAATCTGAACGACATTAATTAACGTTTATTAATCATGGCAGAGATTTTCCTACATTTCAATATGTAGCGGCGACAACTTGAGACAAATTAGACTCAATATATTTTTCACATTTGTAAGTAAAATGTGTCAACAAAAGACTTCCACCCCGGGGCAGCGCTCTGACGGGGTGGAAGTGTCCAGAACACACAGGCAGTACTTGGCTGCTGATGCTAGTTTAGTTAGCGCTCACACTTCTGTTTCCTCCATCGGTGGCGGCGGGGGAGTGGCAGATACGCTCCACCGTTACCATCCATGTTTACTTCCATAAACACTGAGCACGCTCGCTGCGTGTGACGTCGTCGTGTCCTCTTCTGCGCATGCGGGACACTTTTGGCTCGTATGAAGTTCACACAGCAGATCACATACAAGTCGCATTGAACTGGAAACGTGAAGGAAGTCACAAAGAAATCCTCATTGAGCATCAAGTCCTGCAGTGTGAACGTAGCCAATCTGTGGGATTGTTCAGTCAGATAATACGCCGTCATCCTGATTGGTGACATTAAATGTCATGTCGGAGTCACAATCCAAGGCTGTCGCTATGTTAAGGCTGTTTTTATGGGTTCTGGTGGTTTTTCCTACAAACCTGTTGGACAGCAGGTTTAGGATTGTTAAGGGTCGATTATCGAGTCACGACTGTATTTCTGATTCTGATGTTACAAATATAAGATGACCAGAGACAGAAGAAAATAAAACCCTCCTGACTCCTGAATTATGCACACCTTGGAGGTTCAGGAGCGTCAGCGGCCGACGAGCCTCTCTGACGGACGCCAGGATGCTGTGAAGTCCTGCTGATGTAACAGACGGGTTTCCTGACAGGTCCAGACTCACCAGGGTCGGGCAGGACTGCAGGCACCTGGAAAAAAGACAAAAGGGAAACAGGAGATGAGTAAAGGCTGACGGATGGAACTGAGGTCATTAAATCACAGCGAACACAAACACCAACCTGGCCAAGGCGGCTACGCTGCCGTCCGTCAGCCCGTTAGCTGCCAGGCTCAGGTGAGTCAGAGAACAGTCGTCCTGCAAGACAGCAAAAGCTTGAATTTGACCGTCCTGCAGCTACGCGTTAACCTCTATCAGTAAAAATGACAACAAGCGTGACGCGTGCACCTGCGACAGGACGGTGGCGAGATGTTCTAGTGCTGGAGGATCAGCAGGACCCCTGCGGACGGCAGACAGGTCCAGGTGAGTGAGACAGTGGAGGGGCAGAGTCTTCAGCACCAGCTCGAAGCCGGTGGAGCCCAGTGCATTGTGGGATATGCACACTGACTTCAGGTGGCCCGAGCCTGGAAGGTCAAACAACGTGAGTTTAAGAATTTAATCATTTTGTGAAAGTAAAATCAAACACGAGCCCGTCGGTTATCGTTTATCATCGTTTTTCATTTCATGTAAACGTGTCTTTGGTTCTGAAACGATTCTGTGTTCGTGGAGTAGAGTCAGCGAAGGGTCCAAAAAGTTCAGGTCTGAGGTCAGCTAGAGAGGATCCGTTTACCGCTGAGGCCGGCTGCAAACTGTGTGATTTAAACAATCCTTTAAGTTCACAGCGAGCTACGACATGAATCTAATAAACTTTGAGCACGACATGAAGTTTGCTGAAACGCAGCCTACGACGTACATGAATGCACAAGAATAAAACGTCATAAGCAGGCGGCGTCCATCCACGAAAAAGAAACTAGCAAAGCGTGAACGGAGCCCTCGTGGCATTTATGTGTTTGGAGAGAAATCCCCCCAAAAAAGGAGGAGAATACGGATCCGGTCGTGGCTCGGAAAGAGAGGCTGATTGATCAGGACGTCATGTCATGCTGCGTTTCTATTGGTTAGTGAGTTGACGTCGATCACACTGGGAGATGATCGCTACACATTTCTGACAATTTTATCGCAGGTTGTCTTTGGTCGTAGGAAACTTCTGGTTTCATCTTCAGCCAACCACCACATGTCAGACCTTTCAGATGATGCAGCTGTTCCACTGACTCTCTCCACTAATCCTCCTGAAGCATCTTCATCCACCTCTTTATTTGTCTTTAGTGGGAGTTTAGCTAACCTGACAAAAAGATCAGAGTTGTAAAGAACAAAAAAACAACTATAGCTTGCTGGAGTTACCTGTGAGAGCGCTGGCCAGCAGCAGGCGATGCTGCTGGAGGAAGCGAGCGGTGAGACCACAGGCCTGCAGAGACAGCTTGGCTAAGACGGGGCAGCAGGACAGCAGACAGGACAGAGACTCAGATACACCGTCGCCGAGCGGGTTGGCGCTGAGATCCAGCTCCTCCAGGCACTGCGAGAACACCAACGTTCATGAGAGAGAATCGTAAACGCGTCATTTTCACACCTGGCTAAAGAAGAAGAAGGTACAAAGCGTTCGGGATGATAGTTTGCTGTGACGATGTGGTTTGCGGTGATGTGGTTTGCGACACTTGAGCAGAACAAAAAGGCTCCAACTGTGTGAAACGTTGTGACTCATGACTCATCAAACTAATAAAAGTATCTGTGTGAATATCAGCAGGCATTAAGGATGAAGTGATGTGAAATCAATACTGAGTTGTGTGACCACAGCCTGACATTTGTTCCACTGCCACACCGCAGTGCACCCACAGAGCAGCTACAGTCCATTTTTAATCCACCTTTTGTCTCAGTCAGAGTTCATCTAGGAGCCTTTCTAACATGTAAAAACAAATAAAGCTGACTGGAGTTATATTCAGAGCACTGAAAGGTGACATTAGAAAAACTCAACAGTAACATCCATCATCTCTACACCTTAATCCTCACTAGGGTCATGGGGGGCGGAGCCTATCCCAGCTGACTCAGGGTGAAGGCAGGTTCACCTGGACAGGTAACCAGTCTATCACAGGGCTACACTTAGAGACAGACAACCAAGCACACTCACATTCACACCTACGGACAATTTACAATCACCAATTAACCTCAGCATGTTTCTGGACTGTGGGAGGAAGCCGGAGAACCCGGAGAGAACCCACGCTGCACGGGGAGAACATGGAGACTCCACGCAGAAAGATCCCGGGTGTCCTCACCGGGACGCCAACCGGCGACCTTCGAGCTGTGAGGCAATGGTGCTAACCACTGAGCCACCTGCAGCCCTTCAACAGTCACACATCTTTCCAGATACACTCTAGATGACTGTCAGACTCCACAAGTCTGTCAGCAGTTTTACACACGATGCCCACAAGGTTTATAAATATCAGTTTTCAGTGCAGCATGTTTTACTTTGAGTGACTAAAATGTGTTTTATTGAGATTTAAGTCATGTTCATCCTTCAAGTTAGCATAGAACTTGAAATTTTAAACACAACCTGCATCAAACCGGTGCCAGATCAGGACTAAAGTGTCCTTTAAAGGCTGCAATCTGCAAGACAAACTGACATGAGGGGAAATAAAGCCAAAATCAGCTCAGGCCTTTACCGGAAACGCAGGATGACTGAGTCCCTTCAGAGCATTAACAGCCCTCCCCAGCCCTTCAGCCGTAACGCAACCGGCCGAAATGTCCAGCAGCCGCAGCCGAGGCATCGTGATGGTTGTTGCAATCAGTTCAGGGAGAAGGTTGTCGGGAAGACGGTTGCCAGAAATACGCAGCTCGGTGAGGCTGGCCTGAAGTTTTAGGGCTCGCAGGAGAGGGCTGAGGGAAGAGGAGTCCAAACCGAGGCCACACACCGACACAGAAGGAGCCCCGTCCTGAACCTCACACAGTCGGGCAACACGCTTGTTCTCACCTGCAGGGAGGCAAAAATACACCACATGATGACAGAACCTAAAAATACACACGTCTGTGGGTCTTTGTGAGAGTTTGCTCACCCACTGCCAGGCTGTGACACGCCTTCTTGTAGCGCTCACACAGAGGAGGGAGGTCCCAGGAGCAGACCTCAGCCAAAACCTGCAAACACAGCACGCCAATGAGATGCTGAGTCACACAACTCAGGGCAGCCTTTACTACCCAGTGTCCTCCAGGTGGCCTCACCTCTTCGTTGGTGTGGAGGACGGCCAGCAACAGGTCCTGTGGGCAGAGCAGAGCGCCCTCCTTCTGCAGCGAGAGGCGAGGCAGGAGGCCACATTTCTGGTAGTAGCGCTGAGCCGCCTGCTCGCACAGCCAGGACACGGTGCAGGAGTCGGCCTCGCTGGAACAACAGTGGGAGAGGATGTGACTGACTGAAACATGACACTTCCATTGTCCTTTAAGAAAACACTCTGCAGTCCAGCTCTAGTTGAGGTTTCTAACAATCTGGAGCATCGTAAAAACAAGATGCTGTTGTTTTGTCAAAAACAAATTAAAAGTGTGACGTGCTGATTAGTAACCGGACACTAACCTCTGAGGAACCGGAATGAGGAACACGTCTTCCTGAACTCTCACCCTCATCCTGATCGGTGGAGGCAACTGAGTCGGAGGCTAAAATATAAAATCACACACAAAGAAAACGTCTTTTCAGGAATGTAAGACATCTCTGGTGGAGTTACAGCTTCCAGAGTGACTTTAAGGTTTAAACAAACACCCTGTCACCATAATGAAGGTCATAAACACTCCAAGGACCGTATATTTAACTAAAATATGACCCATGCACACCAATGAAATGTGATGATCATCTGTGAATATGATGTTGAATTAAAATCAAGGCTAAGATCTGCAGATTTTAAGGAAAAACTGTGACTCATGCAAAGTTCTCACATAAACAGTCATTTCAGATCCAAGCCGACGGGTATCCAAGCTCAAAAAGAACCTCTAATTGGCTCCACCGCCTCCATCAGCTCGCTCATTTACAGCATCGTTCATCACTGTCTGAAGCTAATCAGAAATGAAGACAGATTCCTGACAAATCATGTTCGAGTTATGGCCCCCAGTGACGCTGAAACATTCATAACTGTCTCCATGAGTGCGTGTTTCTCTGAATAAGTCATGTGAAGTCTTTCTAACTTGCTCATTTTAGAGGCAGCACACACGCGTCAAAGTGACACGACTCTGTGCTACGTCGTCCAGAAGGGCTCCGTCAGAAACAGAACAATGCGTCACCTGGTTCCTGAGCTGGCTGAGTGTCTGCGGGGGCGGCGGAGGCGTGTCAGGCCTCGAGTCCTCGTCGTCCGTCACGGTGGGACTGTTGGACCTGCCGACCTCCCGTCTGCCCAGCCGCACCATCCCTGGCATTTGAGTCATTTTCACCTGGTGATTCCTCTGTGAGCTGTTCTTTTTCAGAGAGTGACTCCTGCTGGAGCTGGAGTGAACCGCAGAACCTGAAGGAAGAGGAGCGTAATAAAAGCAAAATAACTAGAGAAATGTCCATCCATCATCTCTACACCTTAATCCTCACTAGAGTCACGGGGGGCTGGAGTCTATCCCAGCTGACTCAGGGTGAAGGCAGGTTCACCTGGACAGGTAACCAGTCTATCACAGGGCTACAAAAGAAATGTGAAGTAAACAAAACAAACAAACAAACCCCAGTTTGTTACCTCTGCAGGATGCGTCTGAGTTCAGCTGCTTGTTTTGGCCTCTGGATGCCGACGTCGAAGCCGCTTCCTCTCCTCTCGCTCCGTCCTGATCCATCCGGAGCCTCCTCTTCTTCTTCGGCTGGACTTCGCCCAAGTCGTCCTCCAGCCAGTCGTCGGCCAGATACTCGTCCTCGGGAACCAGGGCCGATTTGCTGCTGGATGAAACATCAGGTGTGCTGGAGAAGTGCGGCTGTGAGAGGCCCTGGAGACGAGTTGTGGCGCTGCCTAAGCCTCGGATGGCGCTGTGGTACTCCTCTCGTGCGAAGACAGAAGGTGCAGGGGCCTCTCTAATACTCTCCTGACCCGAGCCGGGGACTGAGGCAGGTTCCTTGTTTGAGGGAGCCTCGTTTTGACTCTGGGCTGCTGGGAAACTGTGTCTCGGGCGGACGGGACGGAGAGGACTGACCGGACAGTCAGAGTCGCTGTCATCCGAGCAGCTGCTGTCAATCTAAAGAACACATATACACACACATTATGCACTGTAACTGTAGATCTGATGCATTCTCTCCACCACATTTGTTATTCTGCAGCTCACTAGAAGCCTTTGCCAGACTTTACCCCGTACAGAACTGCAGCCTCTGTCCCTCTGGCTCTGTGCCGCTGCGTTGAGCCATTGCTCTGCTGCCGTCTGGGGCTGGCGGCCGCCGCTTTCACCTCCGAGCTCCTGTTGTTTCGGGGCCAGTGTTGGCTGGAGGAAGAGCCCCCTCCAGTGGACGTCAGCGGCTCAGAGTTCTCTGCATCAAATAGCTGGCTGTCCTGCAGAGCATCAAAAGGCTTGGCCGGGGCCGGAGCAGCAGGCACTGTGGTCGGCAGAGATAAGTGAGGAAAAACAAGTCTGAGAGCATAATTTAAAACATGGCAAAGCCAGGCCGGCGCGGTGTGATGATGCAGGAGCTTCACCTCCCCCTGCGAGAGCCTTCCTCAGCAGCCTCTCTGTGGCCACACACTCCTGCCTGGTGTCCTGGTCCAGCTCTCGGCTGTATGTCCTCTGCCACTGACGCAGGGTGTCCAAGGCAGTGTTACCCTGAAAGAGAGGGAAAAGTGCAACTAGGATACGCCTCTAAGGGATGTGGGGTGTCTTCAACATGAACTTTGGATTACATGAAAGAAAACAGGAAGACAAACATACGGCTCTTTAAGACATAAGAAGAAGTTCAACTACTAAAGATATTAAATGTCATGTGTATCTTGTTTCTGACTTTGGATGCATGTGTTTTGGATGACGCCTTATCTTTCTTATTTTAATATTTCTGTTTATATTAAAGTTTATTCTTGAGCCTGCTTATGTTGGTACAGATTTTGCCATTTTGGTTTATTGATTGTTTTTTTAAAATGGCAATAAAAAGCTTGAGTGCTTAAAAAAACTGGAGAGTATCTGAGCTTATAGACACAGATCTGTGTTCAAGGTTTGATCAGCTCAGCAAACTAAAGAAGCAGGAAAAGATGTAGTTAACCTGACTGATCCCTCGTTGACAGCAGTCGCACATAAACTGATTATATGTGTAGTGAGTTAGATGTTATAAAAAGGTGTGATTCTGGAGCCAGTTAGTGAGCATGAGTTTACTTTCCCTTTTGCTCCTACTATCCCGTTCCCCTCCCTTTCCCTCTGTCCAGCGCACTGGCATGAACTTTCCCAGGACACGATGGAGCCGAGCTGCATCGATTGATCCGAACCACTTTGTTTCCATTTTAGCGAACCAGAGCTCCGTACCGACACACGTAACAGCTGCTCAGTGAATCTGACATATTGATGTGGTCGCCTGCTCCACCTTTAATGGCGTTAGAGATGCTCATTTGCTTCTGAATCATTACATTATTAGGAGGGTAAATATCTGACTTTGCCTGTGATGTTATCAACGCCCCCATCATGTTAACAAACGTGCACACACCTTGGAGTTTCGTTGCGTGACAGAAGCCCCTCGTTCCACCAGGAGTCGAGCAACCTTTAAATTTCCACAAGTGAGGGCGTCATGCAGAGGAGTGACTCCCTCGCATAGGGGGCCGCCGGGATCGTTGATGTTGGCACCGCGCTCCAGCAGCACACCGACGACATCTGACATGAGGCGAAGAGGAAAAGTTTTAGAGCGAGTGAGGACAGAGTGAAAAAAAAACAGCGAGAGGAGCAGAAGTTTCTCAGTTCTCACAAAAGTAACTCAAAGTTCACTGCAGATGATCTGAGTTACCATAGTGGCCGTGGTTGCAGGCCTCGTGGAGGGGGGTCCAGCCACAGTAGTCCCTGGGGTTCACTGGGTGACCCTGACAGACAGGGAAGCAAAGCTGATCATCATAAAATCCTGGTAGTCTGATGGTTTTTGTGCTAATTAATGAGTCACAGCTGAGCAGAGCCACTTTCTCTTTGTAGGATTTAATGAGATGCCAAATTCCCAATATGCTGATTTTCCTCACCTGTTCCACCAGATACTGGACCTGCTTCAGGTTTCCGTCGATGCATGCTCTGTGGAGGGACGTCTCGCCCTTCTCGTTCCTTTTGTTCCACTAAAGCAGGGAGACAGAAAGGGCAGACGATGAAACAATGAAGAGCTGAGAGGTGGAATATAAAGACGAAATGACAGCTTGTCCAGAGTGGCAGCTAACGCATGACTCACCCTTCCTGCCTTCCTCCTTCCTGACACCATCTTGTCATAACCCTCCAAGTCATCATCTAGAAATGAAACAACAAAACACACACAAGACAATAGCGGTAAATGCTAGAACACATTCAACTGGAGGCGTCAGGGAGGCAGAGTGCCAGTTGGACTGCACACCTGAGTCTGAGAGAACCACATCGCTGTCATCCAGAGGTTCGCTGTTCTCCATCTCCTCCTCTTCGTCCTCCTCACCGTCGCTCCCATCTGGGCTCCAGCCCTCTGAAGCACACAGCTCCTGCAGCCTCGCCTCAGTGTCATCGGCGCCTGATGAGCCGCTTCGTCTCCGGGACGCCAGCCAGAGCCTCAGCACACGTTTCTGTGGGAGTGAAAGTGAGCTGTCATGCATGGTATTTGATCTTAAAACCTTTCCCAGACACTTCCAGCCCTTGCTTAGTTTTCAAAGTACTTTTTTTTAAACACAGTATGTGGATTTTTATCTCGGCTTAAAAGGCTGATTATGTATGAGAAACCGTTTTCAAAGTGGAATTTCTCTTCAGAGCTTAAAACTCGCCTGCAGTCTGGCCTGCCCAGACGTCTGAGCACAGCGCAGTGCTGCTCTGTAGCTGCCGTCTACGTCCTCCGAGGCACAGCCGCTCTCCTCCTGAGCCGTGGCGATGTTCAGCCATGTGCTGCACTCCTGGTGCAGACAAAGACGGGTGAGCAGAACTTCCTATAAGGGGATGTTTTTAAGATTTTGGGGGCATTTTTTCAAATTATTCATTTAATGATTTATGACGTGCTGCACAGGTGCTTGACTGGAATTGAGCCAGAGATGCTGCAGCTATGAGGCACCAGCTCTAATACTTTACATAATGTTAATTAATTTAGCATAACAAACCAAATATTGGGTTTCTTTCACAATCATTTAAACAATTGTGAACAAAAATGTACATATTTGTAAAGACTACATGTAAAGCTGTGTATATATTTTGATGCAGCAGATTTTGTCAGAATTCCTGTAAGATATGAAAGAACCACGATGATGACATAAAGCATCTGTACAGGTACACTCCTGATCACAACTACTGGTTTCACTCATGATTTTATTTCCCTGATGCATTACATGATCTACACGGTAGAGCTTTTGTGATCGAGCTATAACAGAAGGAGTATGTGAAGATGTTGTTCATGTTTACCTCTGTGCAGCTGCCCTGTCGTAAAGCCAGCTCCTTTCTGTAGTGCTCCACTGCCTTGCTGTACTGTCTCAGGTCTGTGTAGGTGGCAGCCAGGGACACGTGGATGACAGCCAGCTCCCTGGCAGGCTTCCCTAAAGCTTCAGCACCCTTCAGCTGCATCACAATGCCAACACAGCTTTAAGCGACTCCACGCTCTCACTAGCTGCTATAGAAACTCTAAAAGAGGCTGAAATCAAAATGAATCTGTGAGTGTTTTCATGCGTCTCACCTGAGCTTGATAGGCATCCAGAGCTTTGCTGTAGCAGCCAACCTTACAATAGAGGTCCCCCAGCTGCTCGGCCAGCTCCACAGCCTGGTGAGAGCCCAGCCTTTTGCCCTGATCTTCCCCCAGTTCCTCCTCTAGTTTACAGCCCTGGTCGGCTGTGTGGTTGGAAAACAGAACATGTTGTCAACGCAGTCATCTGAGGGAAAATTTATATTTAAAAAAATCAAAAATAAAACTTGTTCTTTCACCGTATTTGAACACTTTCTTCACCGCCTGCCTGTCCAGAGGCTGCTGAGATCCCAGCAGGAGAGCTTTCTTCAGAGATCGTCTGGCTGCCACAAAGTCGCCCAGAGAGAGCTGCACCTGTTGACGAATGACAACACACACACACACACACACACACACACAGACACACACACACACAGACACACACACAGACACACACACAGACACACACACACATTACAAACTGCAGAATCACAGCGACAGAACACTGACAAACTGGCGGAGTCGACACCTTGCCGATGCAGTGAAAGCACTCGCTCTCGCTGAACTTCTCCTTGATCTTCTTGGCGCACTCTTTGGCCTGTTCCAGGCAGCGGACAGCGTTGGAGTGCTGACCGTTACGGAAGTAGATGTTGCCCAGGTTGAAGTTTGCGCGGTAGAGATCCTCCAGCAGCTGGCTCCTCCTTCACGGGAACAGAACAGAGACGGCTCAGTTGACAACTTGATCGTATTTCATAAAGTGCACTGACTGCGGGTCCCTATCGTACGGGTCAGTGAAGAGTCCTGACAACTCAACACAGAGTACAGTTCAGGATGTTCTCACTCAGCTATGAAGACGCTTCGCCGGATGAACTCGCTGCAGCGTTTGGGCTCCCCCAGGTGATCGCAGACCAGGCCGAGGTTCAGGAAGAGGCGTGCCTTCATCTCACTGATTTCTCGCTCTGGCACAGTTCCTGCAAGTAAGAAGAGATAAATGTTGGAACAAACAAGGAATTAAAAAAACAGATAGTAGGACTACGATTAACCATTATCTGCACTGTCCATTATTATCTCAATTAACCCATCAGTGTTTAAAATGTCAGAAGAGCTGGATGAGTGTTTTCCAAAGACGACGTCCTCGACTAGACACAGAGGAGTAAAGAAAACACCAAATATTCACATTTAAGGATCTTAAAAAGAAACTTAAACCAATGAATATCAGAAAAGCTTGCAGTGAATTCATTAGCTGACAGATAACTGGTCATTAATGCAGCTCTACTGGATAGGCAGGCGATAGTTTAATATGCTCCACCAAATCCAAGCACCGACACCAACCCTCTAGTCGGTCGTCCACGATGGCCAAACTCTTCCTGAAGGCGTCCTCCGCTTGCTCCAAACTGTTCCTGGATTGGTCCGACTCATAGCGGAAGAGGTAGGTTCTACCGATGGTGGCCAGCGCCCGTTGCTCTTCGGCATGATCGCTGACAGAGCGAGCCAAGTCCAGGTGACAGCGCTGGTGCTGGAGAAGACAGAAAGACACAACCACATATGTACCTCCTGAACATCACTGTGGAATCATAACTACGTCGGTAAAGCTTTTATTAATTTGGTTTAATTGCCACAGAACATTTCTCGGCACATCCGTCTACTCACTTTCAAAGCAGCCTCAATGTTTCCCATCTCAGCGTAGCACTCTCCTATCTTACGATTGGCCACAGCTCGTCCAATCACGTCGTTCAGCACCTCGGACAGAGCCAGCTCCTGCTGGTGCTCCCTGATGGCGGCTTCATAATCACCTGGTGGGCACACGGGACAAAATGACCACACAAGCAGTCAAAGATATTAAAGTTTTAAACTAGAGCAGAGAAGGCAGAAGTGCTGCAACAAGAGAACAGATCCACTCTGACTCCACAGCAGTGTTCATTCTTTAGGTTCTGAAGAGGGCGGATGAGTGTCCAGGTGCTTTTAGGATCTCAACACACTGGAGGCGCAGCACGGACCAACAGTCCTGGGATTTTAACCTGACAATTGTACCATTCTCAAGCTTTGGGGAGTAAAATGAATAAAATATGAGACACTGTGCAAAGCGAGGTCATCCTACTTTCTGTCTGTACTCACACCTTGTTTCACATAAACTCACAATGAGCACAGGTTGGTGCAAACTGGAAATCTGTCATAGTTCTGATTAACCACACGTGTATCTTGGGAATATTTGTTTATATCTAACAGCAGGCTGAGGGATCGAGCCTTTAAATAGTCGAGGACAAAAGATGGTGCTGCTGCTGAGGTGAAAATGTTCACCTATAAACGTCCAGCACCTTGAATCAATAACAACAACAATCAGACCAAAACACTGATAATTCTATCCATAACCTAATGATAACCTATTTAGAGTCATTGCTACTCAGCTGCCCATTGCCACATCGTTATGTAATTTATTGATCAGAGAGATCATGTTTCATGTGTAGCTGAAGCATCCATAACGTCACTGCTGGAGACATCCTGCTGTGACCAAAATGGAAACATCTCCCAACTGAAAACCCGACAAGTCAGAAAAATATTCTGACTTTTACAACCAGTAAAATAATATATATCAAGGGATATTTATAGACAATTTGGGGCTATATTGATAACGGTAATCTGAAACTCCACTTTGCATCACTGGCAATCACCGGCAGAGACTCTAAAAGCATGTGCACGTAACAAACATAAAATATGTGGCGGGGAGACGGGACCAGCAGATCAGGAATATTAAAGACTGCTGTTAAAATATACATCAGGCAGAGGAAGTGGCAGGAAAGGTCGAGGACGGCTGCTTTCAAGTCAAAGACAGAGAGAAAAGAAACATGAAAGAAAACCTCCGTGAGACGAAGAGCATCACCTCAATCTGTATATTTTACAAAAGCCTCAGAATGTATAATGTAAGCATAGAATGTATTATTAAGTTCTACCCATTCTCAGTATTTGTTGTTCCAACACACGGCGTCTCTACGACAGACTGGATGTTATTAAAACCAAGTGCAACGCTGGAAATGATAATGTGCAGACGGAGAGTGGATCAAGAGCCACAGACCAGAAATCAGCAACAAGTCCCACATCTGTGTTGTATAGAACTAATGAGGTTGTTGTTTGCGGCTGGTTCTGTCCCACTATCGCTGAAGTTTGTGGACGTTTTAGATGGACGGGGCTGTGCTGTTGGACTCGTCCATCCAGACACAGTTTCTTAGATGGCAAAAGGAGGAGTCGTGGAGATCCAAGCGTCTGACTCACAGCCTGAACGGACACGACGGCATCCAGCCTGAACTCGTCCTTCTCTGGTCATCTGCCTCCATGATCTGAATAAAGCTGCATTTTAAGGCGGCCTCTTCTAGTCACCGGTCGGATCATTTAAAGCCACACCTGGCCGTGATGTCGGCTGAGAGTCTGTCACCGGCTGAACAGCCCAAAAACTCTTTTTTGTGCAGTTAGCTGAACTGAATAGCAACGGCAACAGAAATGTAAACCACGTGTCTGTTCAGCACCAGTGCATTTAGTCTGGAGATGACTTTAGAAGTGTTTTAAAGAACCAGTGTGGATTCTGTACCTCAGACGCCTCACTTTGCATCGTGTACATGTAATAATGTCAGTGATGCAACCTATCCGAGTCAGAGAGTACTGGGACATACTAAAAACTCTATGTTTTAGTGTTTTGACCGTGTATTGTGCTGTGGCCAAACTAACAGAGGGTTCCTGATCAGATATTCATGTGTTGTATGTTTATACATAATTTGCATGTGTCCAGCCTCTCTGCTGATCCTGTTCTGGTGTTGCAGCAGATTTATGACACACATAACTTGTACTTCATCAGTAAATCTACCACCATAATGCAAAGCTCATACTGATGTAAACCTCTCACCACTCCTGGACAGCAGCTCTCCCAGCTGGTTGCAGATGTTGCCTTCCTCCTTTAGGTTCTGGTTGCTCTGGGCTCTGTTTTTAGCTTTTTGCAGTTCTGTGGAGAGGAATCAATCGACAACAATGGCGGATTAAAAACGCTTCTTTTTTTTCTTTTTACCTTGCAGAAACTTGTACGCACAGCCCTACTTACGTTTGATTTCTCGTGCAGAGCTCATCCTGGTTCAGAACTGCTAGCTAGCTAGTTAGCAAGCTAACCTCCAGCTGGTAGTGAATGACAAGCAGGGCGCTTAGCTTTAGCTTAGCCTCGGCTAAACGGCTGCCAACTCACAAAAGAAGAAAACGACGCTTGAGTTTCATCGGCACGCGTCTCCTTCTGCTCATCAGATGTTATTCGTGTATCCGATCGTGCTGGCTGTCACAGAGAACAGCGCTGCTAGCCACCAGCTCAGTAAATATCTGTCGCTTTAGCTTAGAGCCAACAGAGAACTTCACAAAGCCCCGCCAGGATCGCTTCAGCCAATCACGGCGCTGTATCAAGAGTCCTGTTTTTAACCCCGATTACAGGCTGTCAGGCACAAATCCCGCCTCGACCACTGAGATTAACCGGTAGCATCTCTAACCCTGTCCCTCGACCCCCATCATCTGCCGCAACCTCACACTTCAACACAGCGCTTTTGATCTTTTCACGGATAAAACGGCGGAACAGAACAGCGTGTGCCCATAAGTCTGACAGACAAAGTTCAGGGTAGTAAAAACAGGCTAACCAATGGCGGCCGTTGATTGGTCAACGCCAGAACGTGACACATCTGCAGCACAAAGCTACCAGCAGCTGTCTGCTGTGAAATCCTGCAGCGCAGAGGTACAGTACAAACACACGAGATTATTTCAATGTCTGAATCAGATCATAGAGAAGTAAGAGGCTGTGCAGCAGCAGCTCCTGACAGGAAGCAGCGTGTTCCCGTGGCCCGGGCTGACCTCTCTGTATGTGGGCCAGCTGCGCAGGTCTGTGGGGCAGAGAGGTGGAAGTGGTAAGACACGGATTCATTCCTGGAGCAATGTTTTGGTAAATTATCAAATGTAAACCATGTGTCACATTAACACATTCATTTAATACTGAGAACAATGGATTTTATGCTCTAGCAGGCTTTTATTTGTATTTTTTATATTCATTTTGTCTTGTAAATTTGTATTTTATAGAATATTTTAACATTTTAAGCTTGACATTTAAATGAGTATTAGTTATTAGTTAAATTTGCAGAGAAAAAATGTGATCCTAATATTTAATTTAGTCAGGTAAATGTGCATATTGTATAATATTGTAGGATTTTAACCTATTTATTTAATCTTAGTCTCGTTCTTCTAATGGAAATCACTTTGGCTCAGTGGCAGTTGTTTAAAATGTGCTATAATCTTTATGTTTTGACTTTATCCTACTGGTGTTATGCTGCCTTCTGTGTATCCTGATTATGGGTGTCTTTCAAAGCACTTTGCTTTTCAAAGTGCTGTCTGACTAAATATATTTTTATATTACAATTATGCTAATTTTAAAATAATAAAATGTCACAGTTCTTTGGGAGCAGTCTTTTCCACCAACCATATATCTATAGAATTACTCAAAACCATATTTAAAGGAGCCTTATCAAAAATGTTTGCGTATTGTAATTAATTTAATGTTTAGGGTTTTTTTGGGCTGACACTGATATCAGTTATTAATAATCAAGAAGGTGGACAACCAATATTTAGAGCTGACAAACAGCTCAATTTGCAATAAAAATCAAAGTCCTGGTGTCCAAATTTAGAATAACATGCAAGACAAAACTGTCACAAAGTCTTCAGTGTGTTTTGTGGCATTGAATGATATTTTCTGCAGAACTCACAGTTTATATACTGTTTTAGTTTTTATGTGTTTATCTCATAAAGAACATCTACAGGCTGAGGAGTGTCTCCTGATCTGCTCTTCACTGCCATCTAGTGGTAGCAGCACGTTTTTATCGTTGAAGCATTAAATGCTACATGAAAGCGTCGCGTTTCATCCCAAAGAGAACAGCTTTGTGTTTCATCTGTCCTGGATCTAGTGTGGATTCACTCTTGAAAGTCTCTCTGGGGAAAAAACGCGATAAAACAAATCAGCATTCTGATCAGTGAGCACGACGCGGGAAGTTTAGCGACGGCACACGTTTGATTTTAAATTAGCTGATTGAATTGTTCTGTGTTCGCTTCAGCAAAGCACTAAACTAAAGAAATATATTTAATACAACAGAAATACATTTTAAATGTCACACAGAAATAACAATAAAATAACGTTTTTTATGGAAATTAAATGTAAAAAAAAAAAAAACACGCTTAAATGGCGAGCTATCTAGCTTCAGTAACGCACCCTCAAGATACTTAGAAGATGTTTTATTTTTATTCCCCAGTTTTTAAAATTTGATTTCTATTTAATATTTGATGAAAAAAGTGAGCTTGGATGAAAATATGCTGCAATATTTTCAGAGTATTTCGTCATGTCTTCACTCGCCTCTTTCTAAACATATAAACTAGGTAGAAGGTTGGATTTTATTCTATGTTACAGTTTTCTTGTACGCTTTCAAAGATGTATTTATTTATTTAAATCGTAATTATTTTATGCTGTAGCTCCACTGTTTTCGGCTAGTTTAATCCAGTACAGTAACTAAAAGGCTGTGTGATGTGTATTTAATACTCTCACTGTGTGCGTTGGGTCAGCTGACACACGCGACTCTATAGAAACCTGCAACAATGCTCAACATTACTTACACCAGTTTTTTAGATTGACATAGATGGAGCTAACCCAAATTCATGATCTTATAATCCAACTGTTCAGCAGTCGGCTAAAAAAAAAAAATAGAAAGGGGGACACATGGTTGGGTGGATGATGACGTCATTGACGAGACCTCCTCTGATTGGCTGGTTCGGATCAGCAGCACGTTTTGACAGACAAACAGCCTCTGGTGTGTTGCCAAATTAAATAAACACAGTTTCTTGAAGCAGATTAACATGTGAACGATGATAAGACCCATGTCGTGTGCTGCTTGTTGGCACCGATTATTATTTTAGCATGTCACAAACTATTGGACCAAATCGTTGTTTATGTTAAAAAGTCATGAGCTTCATTACAGGAGATCATCTGAATGGTTGTGTGTCTGCAGGTTTCTTGTTAGAACGCTGTGCCGGCCTGATTACCGCCGACACATCTACCTGTGTAATCAGTTTTTGGGGCATCCAAAAATATTCCCCAGTGTGAGTCCCCAGAGAAGCAACTGTGAAAAACACCACCGTAGGCAGCAACAAAATCACGCCGCAGCCATTAAAAAAAAAAAACCTTTCCCAGTTTGCATTTAAGCAAAAATGAAATCCTGCAATCACCGAGCAGAAATGCTTCTTTGTACGCTTTTCTGTTTTCTTTTAGCTAAATGTCAACGCAAGACTCCAGCATCCGCCGAGAAGCCTTTTGAGATCAGCACAGAGCCTCGCCTCAGCCTCCCCGCGTCTCTATCTCTAAACCGTTGACCTTACAAATGAGCATGCTGCATCATTGTGAGAATTGGTGTTTCTGGGCGGTGCAAAGTGGAGTAGAGCACATCAGAGTGCAGGATATCTGAGAACAGCAGAGCACAGAGAGGCAGGCACATCCGCCGCTGGAGGGATCAAATCTGTACCATCTGACGCTCAAGGATTTATGGGTTTAGTCAAAATTGCTTTTCCCACTGTGGAGATTAAGCACCGTAGGATGTTTTCCACTCAGGCCGTAGAATAGCAGAGTGTAGCTGCTGCTGCTGTTGCTGTGTTTCCCTCCCTCTCACCGGCTCCGGCGCAGGAGAAGGGAATGTCTGAGGACGGCAGAGTGCTCCAAACCCCGGAGGGGAGTCGATTCTGATTGACAGCGGAGGTCCGTCCTCTAGGGAATGTGAACCATGCAGGTGGATGCGGCTCTTGTGCTCTTCTGTGTTTGGCTCGCCGGTGCAGCTGGGAAGATGGTCCAGTCGAGAGGCTACAAGCTGGAGACCTACAAACAAAGCAGGTAACGCCGACAAAGTCCTGAATGTGAGGTGTGTGACGTGACAGACCCCGGTGTGCGTGTTTTTGTAGTTTGATCAGGATGTGAATTAGACAATTTTATGCAAAAAATAAAATGTGCACATGTGTAGAAGTTTCCCTCAGGAACTTCTTTATGTGGCGGTGGAGGTGCTTTAAGGTACACTCAGTGTTGTCCAGTGTTTCCTGTGTCACCTGTGCTGCTCCCTCCCCCTCTGGAAGCTGACTTTTCAGACAGCAGATTGGAGAGCAGAGAGAGAGAGAGAGAGAGAGAGGGAGACCTAAATCCCCACATCTATTTATGTTCTGCTGCTGAATGCCGTGTTCTCTTGCCCCACAACCGCTCGCAGGCCGGTTAATGACCGTTTTCCCTCCCGGCAACAGTTGTAGTCAATGTCATTTCCAGGTGATTATTTAGGCTAATTGCTGCCTCGTTAATGCGTCCATTGGATTAAATGTTTGTTCAGTCAGGACTGAACCAGATCTGGGATTCATTAAAGCGTCCTCATCTGTGCACATTATGGATTGAAGTGACACCAGATGTGTTTTAAGTAGAGAGGTCTGCGCTCGCCTGCTGACGTGTGGTTGAAGAAATGCGACATTCACACCACCAAGCACAACAATGACAACACATCATGAGATCTGACAGCAGAGCATCTCTTTATTGCTGTCAGATGTTTAATGAGCTTCTGCAAGATTGTCTAAACTAATCATTTTCCTACAAAGCAGAGCTGCATGAGCCATTATTTTCACATTTAATTAAGGTGCTGCACATTTTCTTTGTGTCCAACAACACTTTGTTGTTTAATGATGCAGCAGATATTTTCATTTTCAGAAGCTGGAATCCATATTTGTTGGCATTTTTGTTTAAACAATGAATTGTGGAAATAGCCGCGTATTTTCTTCTGTCACTCATGCACCAAATTACTCACTATTCCAGCTCTGGTGGGAGTATTTGATGTTTCATCCCTGCTGTTGAATGCGGTATGCAGAGATGCAGTGTTGGAGTGAAGTCAAACGTGACTTCTGTGAAACAAAGCGTCAGAATTTTATGTTTTTTTTTTTCTGAATTAGTTCCAGTGGAGGCAGGTTGGGATCGATGGTGTTGAAGTTGTGGAATCACTTAATTATGCTCGTCAGAGTTCTGTCAGGTGTTGGAACGCTGGAAATTCACAGAAGAGCTGTCAGATGAAAAGGAACGTTGGAGTTAGTTACCAGCGTGCTTACAAGTCAAAATGTTTTTCACCTGTTGAGAACAATCAGCTGTTTCTTCACTGGGTTATCATTTGTTCTACTGAGCGTTAATTGGGCTCATCTCAGGATTTGAAAGTGTTCAGGATGCTTGTTTTGTGCGATCATCACACTGACACCGAGAAATATTCACTTTGCTGTGACTTCAGGTGGAGAAAAGCAGCTGGAACGAGTGTTTTTGGTTTGAAAAATGGTGCACATTATTAACCGATTATGACAATAGGTGCTGATTAACTCTGTCAGTTAATTAAAAAAGCATTGACCTCAAGTCCAAAGTTAAAGGAACTAATGGAGGCTCGACTGAGAGAAATCCACATTTGCTCTGCCTATCACACGACAAAGTTCCCCCATAAGTGACCGGCGTAGATTGGATTCTTCTCCAGCTTGTATTCATACAAAAATTCTCTTGTTGAAACATCAGCGCCGCGTCCAATCGTCGCCTCCAGCCTCGAGTGAGAAGCTGTCTCTGGTGAAGATGATAAGATTTTTTTTATTTTTTTATTTTCCTCCCAAGCAGGCAAAGTGCAGCACTGTACGCCTCATAATGCTATCAGCGCTGAATGATTTGCATCCTCTTAATATATTCAACAAACCCTGTCAAATCATAATCCCCCTGCCTTTAGATACACTATCACTCTTCATGCTATAACTGCTGTTATTTATAGATCACAGGCGACGTGAGGCAGCAATCTGCTCACTATTAGCATTCTCACAAACACGGCCGGTCCTCGTGTGAGAAAACTGCACGAGTCGGGTCTCGCCGAACCAACAGTGCAGTTCACAAAGCTCTCCTTTCACATCTAAACAATCCTCCATGAAATTACAGTCATTTAACGTGATCATCCGAGCCGCAAGGTGATTAAGACCGTCGTTAAGTACGCGAGGAGCACAATCGTAATCATCTGTGGCAAATCTGCAAAAGGCAGAAAGCACAAGTGGCTCAACAGCGCTGTGTAATCTTCGAATGCCAGCGCCGTCTCCTTATCAAGCCTCCCTGTTTGTTGTGTTTTCCTTTCCTGCCCTCCCACAACTAGTTAAAAGTCCTCTCACATCACTCTTCTCTCCGCTGACATGCACCAGTGTGTGAATACAAATCAAATGTAAATCTCTTATTCCTCTTCCAGCAAAAGCCAAAACAATCTCAAACGCTTATGCAGGAATCGAACTCTTCCTCTCCCCCCGTGCTCCTCATCACTCCAGTCCTCGTCTCTTGAGTGTGAAATTGCAGAAGCGTCTGGGCGCTGCTGGCGTGGGTTCGTGGGAGTTTTTGTCACTTGTTTCGCTCGCTGCCTTGAGGAGGAAGAGCGCAGAGGGGAGGATTTGTGTAGGACAGAGGAGTCCCACATAAGAGAAACATCTGAGGAGAAAAACCCTCACGAGGTTCAGGGGATAATGCGGAGTGGTGGCGGGCTGGTTCTGGTGGCAGAGAGGCCCGTTTTGATAAGGAGAAGTGAATCATCTCAGAGTGTAGTAGCTGTGTGTTTAGTTAACGCTTCGCTGAGAGCAAAATGATCGTGTTTCTTTATCGCATGGAATTTAGAAGAAAACTGTATGAAAAGCACCAAAAAGCCAAATTAAACCGTCAGTCAGAGCGAGAGGCGGCTAACCTTGACTAAAACTATTCATTACAGATGGTGAGCGTTGAATGGAAAGCAAACAGAGCTCGGTTTGTTTTCAGTTTGATCCGAATCATTCCTGCAGTAAAATAAGACTGGAAGCACTTAAAATGAAGACGTTTCTATTTGTTGGTTTGTCAGCTTTAAACCTCTTTCTCTCCTCGCTGACTTCCTCCTGACGCTCCCGGCCAGCGTACACGTTATTGTGTCCACGGTGACCTCGGCAGAAATGTGGCCCATTAACCCGGATGCGGCCCCTGCAGCCGTGCGAGCGTGCCGGCCCTCGGCTGCAGAAAACAATGTGGGTGTAGCGGTGCAGAGCAGACAGGCAGTCTGCTGTGTGGCGGAGGCAGGCAGGCAGGCAGGGGATTGGAGAGGCATTTCTGCCAAGAGGATTAGGAACCAGCTGCTGGGTAGATGCAGACGAGTGGCGCCCGTTGCCCCTCTGAACACTGCACCCAGAGAAACCCTCTCCTCACTGTTTCATTTTGCCCTCGCTGTGGGTTTTTTTCCTTTTCTTTTTTTTTTTTTATTGTATTCGTGCAGCCCCCTTCATCTCACCGCTCTTCTTCTGTGGTGTTTCCTTAATGCATGTCGGTGGTTGTCACGGGGATTTGGCTCTGTCTGTCACAGCATGCTCTACTCTATTAATCCATTTTAGGGTTTTTGGAATTCATCATTTTCTCCCTCGCTCTCTCTTTCTCTCTGCTGGTGGCCTGGAAATGCTGCCGGAGACACAACCACAGCAGCTCCTCTGGAAATGTGACACCAGAACAGAGCTCTGAATTAAACGTGACGAGGGAATGCCCTTTTGATCTTTAGTGTAATTTGCGGATAAAATGCGCGTGATGCAAGCGGATGTACTAGAAAGTGGGAAGGATCGGCTGCAGCTCAAACTAATGCAGAGTTTAGCGTCGAGATGACATGAATATTAGTAATATTTCAAAATAAAAGCTGCTACTACGGATTATTTTAGTCGTTTTGTGTATAAAATGACAGGAAACAGAGGACGACGCCTGTTTGGGTTTCACAGAGCTGATAGCAGCACATTTATATTTCATGTTTTGTCTCATAAAATATTAAAACCCTTTTCAGTTTAGGATAATCACAGAGAAAAGTAGTAACCTGAAACTTTTGAGAACCTGCAACAAACACCTCCTCTGTAAAAATGCAAGATAAGAAGTTCAGAGGGAAGTTTTGGTGCCACATTTTGCTCAGAGAATAAACCAGGAGTAGTGAATATAAAGGAGCAAATGCTAACATCAGTGGCTAACAGAATAGCTGTAAAGATACAGTCCGTAAAATAAGTAAGAATAAAACTAGAATAGAAGCGATACTGCAGACGATACTGAAATGTTGGGTGTTAAATTATGTAGTAAATATAAAGAGCATAAGAAGTTTAAGTTACTGTAGTTATTATAGTAAAAGAACAAGAAGATAGATCAGATAATTAGTAGGGTATAAGCAGGTTACAAAAATAAATAAAATCGAAAAAACTGAAATGGGACTGATAATAATAATAAAAGAAAAAACTGTATGAAAAATATATGTCTCCCTATATGTCGATCAATTCCGTCATTTCAGCTCCAGTAAACATGCAGCAGGTCACATAAGGTTTTTTGTTTCTGCATTTCAAAAGTAGGACAGGAAAACAAAACCAGAGTAAAACCTGCTTGTATAATGATGCGCTGTGTGCTGCCAGATGTTCTTAAGATTCTCTTAATTAACAGGTCGCGGAGAGACACCAGGATGGACGGGGCAGGAGGAGGAGGAGGAGGAGCAGGAGGAGGCCACAAATCTGGGAGGCAAGTTTTTAAAAGCTTAAGTTAAAACTTCCAAAATCAAGGCACATCCAACTCTTTGTGCCGTGTGTCTTAGTCACGTGTTGTTGTCTTCCAGCCCCATTTACAAACGAAGTCCAGACATGACGAAGTCCCCGATGACCAAATCCGAGCAGCTCCTGAGAATAGACGACCACGACTTCACCATGAGGCCAGCGTTCGGAGGTGAGATCTGAACCAAGTGTAGGAGATCGTTTAAGCTGGAAAAGATCTGCATCGTGCTCAAAGACCCAAACCGTCTCTGTAATGATCCAGCTGATGGTTCCACCTGCTGTCACGTCCATAACCAGCAGAACAGCAGGTTCTGACTTGTGCCAGTTTTCTTTCAGGTCCTCCGATTCCAGTTGGAGTAGACGTTCAGGTGGAAAGTCTGGACACCATCTCCGAGGTTGATATGGTGAGTGTGAAACAGCTCTGTTTGAGAACCGTGTATCACAGGCTGCCAGACAGGAAAGAGGCTGGAGTTGGAAACAATTGTAAGGCCACTTTTCACTGCTTTCTTTTTCTACTTGACTGAGAAGGATATGTTGTGTTTTTGTACTTCTCATGTGGTCAAATCAGTGAATATTTGACAAAAACAGAAACTAGTTTTTGTATCAGAACTCTATTTTAAACTCTCAGATTTATCTTGTGAGCCTCTGTTGGGACACTCTGGACTTCACTTCCTGTATATTGTATTTAAAACAATCTCCTCTTGGGCGTCGGTGCATCATTATTAATAATGAAATAGCATCGTGTGTGTGTCCTTTTTCTTCCACAGAGGAGTTTTAAAAGCTAGATCAGGGGTGTCCAATCCTGGTCCTGGAGGGCCACAGTCCTGCATGTTTTAGATGTGTCCATCTTCCAACAACCTGATTCAAATGATCAGGATGGTTATCAGGCTTCTGCAGAGCTTGATGATGAGCTGATCATTTGAATCAGGTTGTTGGAAGAGCGAAACATCTAAAACATGCAGGACTGTGGCCCTCCAGGACCAGGATTGGACACCCCTGTGCTAGATTCACCTTGTAATGGATCATTTCTACGTTGCTCCACTTCTGTACAACGCTCTAGTTTCCCTTTACTTCCTCCTCAGGACTTCACCATGACGCTGTACCTGCGTCACTACTGGAAGGACGAGCGGCTGTCGTTCCCGAGCACCAACAACCAGAGCATGACCTTCGACAGCCGCCTGGTGAAGAAGATCTGGGTTCCCGACATGTTCTTCGTCCACTCCAAGCGCTCCTTCATCCACGACACCACCACGGACAACGTCATGCTGAGGGTTTACCCCGACGGCAACGTGCTCTACAGCCTCAGGTGAGCAACCTCCACACAGAAGAACAACCGACTCACGCCGAGATACCCGCTGCCTTGTTTATTCTGTTTTCTTTTATAATCCCTAAAAATGCACAAGTAAGCATTTTATATATTAATGCGGCAGTAAAAAAAAAGAAGTCGGGGGTTTGTAATGAAAAATTAATCGAAAAACATCACAGCAGAAAAAAAAAGAGAAGAAGTTTAATCCAACAGAGACAGGAAGAGCAGAAAACAAACGCAGCGCTCGAAAAGACCACGCAGCAGAAAGTCATTTACAAAGTTCTGAAAAGGTCACCGCTGATTTGTTGTGTCGAGTTTCGCAGCAGGTCCACGAGCGTTTCGGTAATTATAATCAGAGCAGCTCGGCTATTCAGTGGAAAATGTTAGATGGCTGTTTGGACTTTTTAGCCTTGGCTTTAATAAGGAAAGTAACCAGTTTGTGTTTGTAGTGACAACATGGCACCTGATTAAAAAAGAAAAGGTGGAACGGTGCTGAAGGGAGACAACAAAAGGGCTGCTGGAGGAGCACAATCATGGGCTGAGCACTCCGAGATGGCAAATAGCTCAAACAACAGGGCATCCCGGCGGCGCATATGCCTCCCCATCAAGCACCGAGTCGGTGTTGTGTTGCTCTGCTGAAGTAGCCGATGTACCCGACAGAAAATTGAGCCCCTACCCTTCAATCTTCTTTCCTCTGAGATGTCGAATTGCAGTGGATGTTATGGCTGTGTTTTTTCCTGCAGAGTCACGGTCACCGCCATGTGCAACATGGACCTCAGCCGCTTCCCTCTGGACACCCAGACCTGCTCGCTGGAGATTGAAAGCTGTGAGTGGATTTATCAGGATGTGGACAAACATGTCTGTCAGGCATCTGTTTTGTTCCCCCTCTGTGTGAACATCCATCTGTCATCTACCCAACACATAAAAAAACCCTGTATATTAATAATAAGCAGCTAATGAACTTGGCTGTAAAATAAAATTGTGTACCGTAATGACCGGACGATTGAGCCACCTGAATATAAGCCACACCCACTACCTTTAAACAGGAAACCAGGTGTGTTCATATCCAGGCTGCAGGTGTCTCTAAGCTGCAGGTGTCCACGTTGGAACATGAGATATTTACACAGAAAGATGTTTTAACCTTTAATTAAATGCGTAGCGGTAACATCCACAGATACGTACCGTAGAGGCTTTTTTCTGAACACTTCCTGTAACACGGCTGGTTAAGGAAATAAAACTCCAGCAGCTACCAGGAAAAGTCACTGATGGCTATCTTCATCTTCCTCCTGCACTAAAACCACTAAAGTCGTCTTCTTCAGTGTCTTCAGGAGCTGAACAGCCTCAGAATCACTTCATCACTTCCTCAGTCTCTCTGTCGTCGTCGCTCTCAGCCTCACTTTGGTCTCGAGACAAACTCGTAAAACTCGTTAAAATCCATAAATTAGCCGCATCATTACGTCACGACAGGGCGGGTTATCTGTGCCGCCGTGTTCGTGGTTCCCAGAAGATGGATTCTAGTGTTTAGTGGAGCTTTAAGAGCAGCCCTTATGCTGCTCATTACCATCTCAGACACTTCACACCAGCTTTCTTCTTGCACCCTCCTGAGGCCGCCGTGCCAACTTTGCACGCCAGATATCTCTTGAAATCTCAGATACATCCTGCCATTAAAGTTTTTGAGCTTATTCGTGCTTCAAAGAGAGCGCTGCTGTATTTTTAAGACTCCTTCCCCCTCACCAGCCTTCCTACAGCTCCATCACCGCCGAGGCTCTCAGACTAAGGTGTGTACGTGAGCATCACAGCCTCTAGGGACTGCTATTTGGGATTTACTGTTGAAGTTTTGTCATTTTTTTTCATCTTCCTCGTCGCACATTTTGTTCGCATTAACATGCAGCATTGTTTCGCTCTAAATCTGTCCTGATCTGGTTTGTTGCTTGATGTACCTGCTTCCAAATGTTTTCCCTCCAGATGCGTACACGGATGACGATCTGATGCTGTACTGGAAGAAAGGCAACGAGTCCCTGAACACAGATGACAGAATATCTCTGTCCCAGTTCCTCATCCAGAAATTTCACACCACCACCAAGCTGGCTTTCTACAGCAGCACAGGTACAGCGATCCACGACACGGCAGCCTCGAACACACCGAGCAGACTCGTGTGAATGAGCCAGATGTGAGCGTCACGCGTGTACAATCAGATCACAAATGAATCACAACTTCAGTAAATCTCATTTTACTTGGTCGGCTGTTTATAAATAAGTGTCACATCTTCCTTACATGAGGTGTCCCTTTAATGTACTAATACCTAATCCTCACTGCAGGACCAAGTGAGTCCTGCCAACCACTTGTATGCTGTTGGAAAGCCGCTGTGAAAGCCTCCTTACAACCACATGTCACTTCCCAGCTCACAAGAGCAACCTGCAGCATAAAAGGATTCTGCGTCCTATCTTTCTCTGCCAGAGCGGCGGAGGAACCTCTGCTTCAAGTGTTGATACGGCGTATCAGCAGCCAGCACATGACAATGTGTGTATAACGGTGACATTTCTTGTTCCTAGGCTGGTACAATCGCTTGTACATCCACTTCACCCTGCGGCGCCACATCTTCTTCTTCCTGCTGCAGACGTACTTCCCCGCCACGCTGATGGTCATGCTGTCCTGGGTGTCCTTCTGGATCGACCGCAGGGCCGTCCCCGCCAGGGTACCGCTCGGTAGGACAGGCCGCCCCTCCTGTTGGATGACCTTTAATTTGGCACCACTGTAGGATGATTTTGTTAAAGGAACGAAGGATGAGGAAAGCAATGAGACAGTTTGTTGTCTGTCTTTGGGTTTTGAAGTGCTGGTGTAATTTTAAAAAAAGCCTTTTTTATTGGCTTGTAATCCATTAAAATGACGTAAAGAGGTCAGGGCACTCTGTAGCATCGACACCAATCATTTAAAACATTAACTCCACCTGCTTAATAATATATAGGCCCCTTCATGAAGCTCTGACCTGTTGGGCCGTGGACACAGAATCTGTGGAGGTGTCCTGTGGTGACTGGAATCTTTTGGCTCTGTTGGGTTTGACTCTGAGATTATATCGCTGGACGAATAATTCATAGGTTGGTTTTAATAATTGTAATTAATGCAATCACTTGCTTTGGTGTGGAAATAAGTATATCTTATTTTCCAACACTAAAACCCTACAG